GTTTCTAGCCTTCAGTTTCTAGACTTCAGTTATTCATTCTTGTACTTTTTTCATGTAAACTACTTACATTTTGATTTTTAAATAGACTTTTTTTAAGTCTCTTTTTAAGCAGTGAGATCAACATTTCTTGTGTTGATGGCTCTTTTATCTAATGTATACTAAAATGAACACACGCTTTTCAAATAAAAATGCTCATCTGAGTACTATCTAAAATTATGTTGAGGACTACTAGTGAGGAGCCTACCAGACTTCAGGAAACATAGTGTTAGGTAGATGATGGGGGAAGTGGGGGTGGGACAAACCAAGGATCACTGGCAGTGGTGGCTGCAGTGTTGCCTGTGAACAGAAGGGGTGTGGAGCAGAGTGGATCAGGATGTTAAGTGAAAGTGATTAGGAGAATGCTCCCTGTGGAAAAGGCAGGTGAATACAGGATTAGTATTTAAACTCATAGGTTAAACTATCAACAATGGGAAATATTGAACAGGCTAAGAAGACTCCCCCTTCCTCATTCTGGGCACTGCTCCTTCCCTTACTCCTTAATATTACCTAGTTTTTAGGAATCAATTAAAGGCAGCTCCCACTTTGGGTGCCACTCATTCCGTAGTTATTGAGTGTCTATATTGTTCCACAGCTCAAGGCACTTTTTAAAGGCAATATCCTTAGAAGCAAAGCCCAATTTCCCTTCTTTCTCCCTTAGAACTCTGGTGCCTTTGTACATATACATGTGTATTTGTCATTTGTGTGAACACATCTGAGTAAAACATCCTTCTATTATTGTGTGGGAGCTTAGAGCTATAAGATACTCTGTGTTTCTGAGATGCTGTGAGTCATTTTGTAAAGCCTGACCCTGGAGAATTGGGATGAAAATTCTCAGACTCAATAAAGTATTTTGTCTGCACTTTATGTGTGCAAAACTTCTGTTCTTAATGACACCAATAAATTCTAACTTATAATCAATATTGAACATGCTACAATGTGTGGGACCTCCTTTCTCAGCCTCATCTCATAAGATTCATCAGCTGTGGGGAATGCCCATATTTTTTTCTTTTGCTCAGCAGAATGGGTGAGTACCTATACTTCTTATTCAAACTTCAAACACATGGTGACCCATAGGCATATGCCAATATTTAACTAACCTGTGTTTGTCACCTTTTTTTCCCATGCACATTGCTTAGTGGCCTTGGAAGACTATTTAAACTTGTGCCTAAATTAGGGGCTGATTAGGTTCCAGAAAATACGTTGACATTTGTATTGGCAAGAAGAAAAGGCTCCAGGCTCTAAAGGCAATTGCATGCTCTTTTTCTCCATAGACTTTTTTTTGTTCTTAGCTTCTCCAGCCGCTTTTGTAGCTAATACGTCACTAGATCATGCTGGCTTTTAACCACTCCAATGTGTGGAGACAATTTTTAGTAAAACTCCTTTCCCTGAAAAAGAATGAATACTAACACATGCACACACACACACACACACACACACACTCTTGGGAGGAGGTCTTGACGTGAGTGTGATGGAGTATATGTTGTTTGCTGAGACATGATGGCAAGGAACACTGAGCCATCCCCAGGCAGGAAACTGCTAGAATGAGCAAGCAGTATGTACTGGTCATGTGCTAGTTAAACCAGCTCCCAAACCACAGGGTATTTGACCTTGTCCCCGTTGCTGGCTCCCAAAGAGTGTTTTTTAGCTTATTTCTATCTTAGTAGTGAACAGGCACTATCTGCCTGTTTAGTCTATCTTTAGTCTATGAAGAAACACTGAGCACCTGCTTATTAAAAATCATCTCTTGTTTACAAAGAGTAAATACATGGGTCAGAGTCTGCTCTGGGCTGTCAGCTGGGAAATGCTGGCAGATCCCTGGTGGTCCCACTGTGATCCCATTTTTTGCACTCTATCTTTATTTCTGTTTCTTAATTCCTTCAGCACCGCCTGGGTTGGGGTCTCTATGACCGAGCTGGTCTCGGCACACACACAACATAAGCAGTAAGGGCAAAAAAAGTGCAAAAGGGAACAAAGTGTGAAGTATACGCTTGTGAACTTGGAAGTTGACATTAAGCTGATTTGCTCAGGCCATAACTGGTCACTTGCTAATCTTTGTAACATATAGAAAATCATTATTAGTGAATAGAATTATCTTTCTTGAGAAAGTGAACCCTAGGACCAGATCTAAGTTTCCTTGAGAACCCTGATCAAGGATGGAATTCATTTGGGGGCATTTTTACTCTGGTGACATGTGATTCTCTCCATAAAATTGTTTGCATGGTTCAGTAAACCTTTTCAATAGAAATCCTAACAGTAAATGTTTTACGCACTTTGCTGGCAATGTAGTCTGTCACAACTACTCTGCTGTCCTACAATGAAAGCATATAAATGAATGAGTGTGGGTGTGTTTCAGTAAAAGCAAATTTACTAAAATCAGCTGTAGGCCATATTTTTTTCCTCAGGCCATAATTGGTCAACCCTGCTCTAGAGGAGAGGGAAGAAACCATTTAATATCCTGTGTCTAGATTTTCAATGATCAAGAAAAGCTTAAAATAAATTAGTAATTTTGTTAAAATATCTCACTTTTTGCTTGCTCCAAATGATTGCGGGAGAAAGAAAGATGTGGAGGAATGACTATTTAGGGCTGAGGTATTAGAGTAACAGAGAATAATGCAGGAAAAGAAAGGAAAACTTGACAGAGACAGAAAATGTACATCAAAGTATGAGAAATAATAAAATGCAGAGAAAAACATTTAAATTTGGTGACCAGAGTTTTAGACTTTATTCTGTATCTAGTTTTTATTGGTCTCTGGACTTTAAAGTAGTATAAAACGAATACCCACAGAAACGATTGGGAAAATAGGACAAACTAACACAATTTTTGATCTACATATTAGGATTTTTGTTACATTCCTCTGTATTCCTGTTCATGGCCATATTCTACCTCCATCCCATAAAATTAGATTGTAAGGCAGCTGGGCATAGTGGCTTATGCCTGTAATCCCAGCACTTTGGGAGGCTGAGGTGGGCAGATCACCTGCTATCAGGAGTTTGAGACCAACCTGGCCAACATGGTGAAACCTCATCTCTACTAAAAAGTACAAAAATTAGCCGGGTGTGGTGGTGGGTGCCTGTAATCCCAGTTACTCTGGAGGCTGAGGCAGGAGAATTGCTTGAACCCAGGAGACAAAGGTTGCAGTGAGCTGACATCGTGCCTCTGCACTCCAGCCTGGGCAACAGAGTGAGACTCCATCTCAAAAAAAAAAAATAGATTGTAAAGCATACCTAACAAAAGACATTGGTTCACCACAGAAACAGACAACTGTCTATCTGTGAAACCCACAGCTGTCAGAACACGTACAAATGCTATCCTGAAATAATTGCAAACTTGCCACTTCTGAATATAATGGGTCAGTGAAGAATTTATATAGAGAAAACAGTCTATTAGATTAGAAGGAAATGGGATTAGGAAGAAAAGCAGAGATGAAAATGAAGATTAAATTGAAGCTAACAGCCAAATAGAGCATATCCTATAAAACTTTCCAGATTAGATGTTATCTGTAAACATGTCAAACATGTCTTATAGCTCCTGTAAGCCCTGAAGCATTTCGAGAATGAGAACATTATTCACAAAAGCTTGTTGAACAAATTAAAGTGGCCCATGTGCCCATGAGAGTTGGTTTTATTCACTGCTCTATTCCTGGTCCTCAAACAGCACCTGACATATATGTATGTGTTCCATAAATACCTATTGGATATTTTTTTGATACTTTAAGTGTGTATACGGAGGTGGTTGGAGGCGTTTCACCAGTAGGTGGTAGAGTTGTTAAACCTTTACTTCGGTGTTTCAAATGCCTTCTTGCCTTGTGTATTCCCCTGCGGAATCCCTTTGTGTATCTATGCTCCCAATGTTGTATTGGGAGGGCTGGGGGCAGATGGCTGAGATGAGGGCAATGTGCCTCCTTCACCTCAAGGAAGAGCTGTGACTTTACTAAAATTCCTGAGTCAAGTGGAGGGAGGAGAAGAGAGGCAGGAGAGAGGAAAGGACTAATGAAGGAATCAAGTGCTCTGGTATCAGGGTTTGCTCCTTGTTCTAGTTGAGAGACCATGTGTGAACAACTCAAAGACACTAAAGTTCATACCAGCTGGACCTGTGTAGCATCATCTCTGCAGTCCCTCTGACCCATGCCCTTAGGGCCTTCTGTTGTTCTAGTCTGTGTTCAGGTCCAGCATCCTAAGTAGCTGAGATGCTCCCTGATATAGGGATTGCAGAGTATGCCTCTTTTGTCCCCCTTATCACCCACTGAGGGGTGCTCCCTCCCTAGGTGGCATTACATTACTGGGTCTTAAAAATACGCACAACTGGCTCCAGGGAAGGGCACCAGGGAAGGATTCCACTGAGCCAGGGAGGTGGCCTCCTTGGGTTCACTGAGATGAGGGAGTGGAGCCGGAGTGTGCCTGTCCTGGATAAAAGACAGACAGCTGGAAGGCATCTGCCCAAAGGGAAGGGGTCGATGTGTTAGAGTGGAGGGAAGCCACAAGTGGGAGGAGGAAGGGGAGAGCCAGTCATTCATTGTGGGGAGGGTGGGCAGCTGCTAAGAAAAAAGCGACTGTCTGAGGAACCCACTCTGTAAACCGGGCCCTGACAAGCTAGTCTAAATTCACCTCTTGAGGTGCTGGCGCAAAGCTTGAAAGGGAAAGAGGAAGTATGAGCTGTAGACACTAACGGTGACACCCAACGGGAGCAGGAGGCCTCCCAAGCAGCCCCTATCTCAGGGCCTAGGAAGCACACCTAGACGATCAGGATGCCAAGCAGGGTGACACGGGGTAGCCCCCACCCCTGTGTGACCCTGCCATGGGCTGCAGGCTCCTCTGCAATGTGGTCCTTTGTCTCCTGGGAGCAGGTGAGTCCTGGGCACAGGTGCGACATTTCTGTCCTTGAATTTTTGGCTTTTTTCATGGAACTGCCTCAGAAGACTCTGTCCTGGGCTTAGTCTGAAGTTGGCTTCTTATTTTTGCAGGCCCCATGGACACTGGAATTACTCAGATACCAAAATACCTGGTCACAGCAAAGAGGACTAAAAGGACTCTGAAATGTGAGCAACATCTAGGACATGATTCCATGTATTGGTACAGACAGAAAGCTGAGAAATCCCTGGAGTTAATGTTTTACTACAACTATAAGGCACTCATTGAAATCCAGACTGTGCCAAATCATTTCACACCCAAATGGCCTGACAGCTCTTGCTTCTGCCTTCACGTGGTCACGGTGCAGCTAGAAGACTCAGCTCTGTATCTCTGCACCAGAAGTCAAGACACAACGTGACCGCCTCCCTGTGGACCAACCTCCTGGGTCTAGTCAGGAAGCTGTGGGGGCAACACATCCAGCTGAGCCTCAATACTTGAGTCAGCATTCTGCAAGACCTCAGCAGAAATCTCAGGCCATCGTACTGTCATTTATTGGATGTGGCAATGCCACATTGCCCAGACTCCAGCAGCCTGTGGCCTGACTTTGTCTTGAACAAGACTGTGCCTGAACTTGAATGTAGGACAGGTGCTGCCAAGTTCAAGTTGTTCCAAGTATCTTCCAGCTGGCTTGTGCCTCTGGGAAATCTTGTGTGAAGCATTTACCACTCTGGCCACACCAATCTGCCTTCCAGTATGAACATTTTTTGTCTTCTCTTTCCACCCAAGTTAGACCCTGGATCCCTGCCGTCATCCCAGATCCAAATATGCTCAGACCTCTTCTTTTGTTTTAAAAAAAAAAAATACCTAATCCCCTCCTCAGATGGCTCTATCAGTGCCTGACCCTGAGGATAGGAGCTCTCCATGGGGCTTGGATCATAGTTCACTCTCCCTGGAGCATGTGCAGAGTTTCAACTTCTTGGTGGTTTCTGTCTTCCATTCAGGACCTTCACACTTGTTCCTTTTCCTTCTGTCTCTTTAATCCTAATGCCAAGTTTTCTTGGCATCCATTATCGGCTGTAGAGTCTGTTTTACCTGCATTGTTGCTCACAGCAGGTAATAAGAGAAGAAGACCTCCTGGAATTTCTGAGCCGGACTTTGTGCTCAGGGTTACCTTTGCTGAGCCCCATATTTTCCAACATTGCTCCTAGTAATGGCCCTCAGTCCTGCACACACCATCAGACCCCAGGGGCTGAGCAGGGCCCTCTATTGTCAGGTTTCTGCACCAATGCAAAGGCTCCCTCCTCCCTCCTATAGAGGGTGCTCCAGGGGTGGTGGGTGTTGCCACAGACACCGGTAACTCTGCCAGACCTTGCCTGTGGGATCGTGGGAGCTCAAAATACCCCTCCTTTCTTCCACATGACCAGATGTCTGAGCTAGGAGGGGCCTCATTCCTGCTGTGATCCTGCCATGGATACCTGGCTCCTATGCTGGGCAATTTTTAGTCTCTTGAAAGCAGGTCGATCTTTAGGACTCTAGGGAATTCTTACTTTGAACTTACCTAAGACAGCTCTAAACCATTCTCTTAATCTTCTTTCTTTTCCTACAGGATACACAGAACCTGAAGTCACCCAGACTCCCAGCCATCAGGTCACATGGATGGGACAGGAAGTGATCTTGTGGTGTGTCCCCATCCCTAACCACTTAAACTTCTTTTGGTACAGACAAATTTTGGGGAAGAAAGTCGAGTTTCTGGTTTACTTCTATAATGATAACATCTCAGAGAAGTCAGAAATATTCGATGATCGATTCTCAGTTAAAAGGCCTGATGGATCAAATTTTACTCTGAAGATTCAGTCCACAAAGCTGGAGGACTCAGCCACGTACTTCTGTGCCAGCAGCGAGCCACAGCCTTGCAAAGACACCTCTAGCCTGTACACAAACCCTCACAGACCTGCCTCCCTCCCAGCCGCCAGCACCCACTTCCTGCCTAATAAAGGAAGTCTCTGGTTGGGTTTGTTCTTGCAGCCATCTCCAAATAGACAGATATCTGAAATTAAATTACCAAAGATATCTTGGGCAGGAATGGGTAGATACTGCAGGATTTGCAGAAGTTTTACAGATACTACAGGGTGTGACTGTGGGCTCTGAATGTGGGCAAATTGTCACCACCAAGTAACCTACGTCTTCTCGTTATTCCCTTTTTGCCATTGTTATCAGTATTTTTTTGTTGTTAGTTGTTTAGGAAAACATATTTTAACTCATAGGATGGTAAGTTGATTACTGAGCCGGAGTTCAGATATTTCCATGAGAATATAGAGGGTCCCCATGGAAATTTTCAGGAGAAGGGGCTCGGGACGCTGGCCTCAATATCAATGAGTCTTGCTCAGCATGTGGTCAATGGCAGAACCATCTGATGACCCTGTCAACCTGGTGTGATGCATTTGGGCTAATGATCCTAGCTCACAAAATAGCAAGTTAAGAGAGCAGCAGACATGGAGCTTAAGATTGGGACCACATTTCACACCATTTCAAGGTCAACAGAGTTCTAGACAAGCATGAGAGTCTCCTGAATTAAGCCAGGCAGTGCAGGAGCAGAATTCAGCTGCAAAAGTCAAGAGGCATCTAGAGGCAGAGGCAGGAATGAATTTATCACTTACAACTTAACATGAGGCAGCCAGATTAACTTCTTGAGCTTCATTTAAGTTTGCAGTGTTACTGAAGAGTTGGAGCAGGGAAGGTGGAGGGAAGACTTCAAAAGAATAACAATGGATTCCTCATAATATGCCAGGATAAGCTCAAGCAATGCATGGTAGAAAAAAGATGTGAGCAGATCGTGTTGTTTATAAACACCTGGATTCATTTATTCACTTATTTTTATGCCAGCGCCACTGCTATGAAGTCTTAAAGGATGACTGATTGACCAACATGTGTTCCCATACAACTTTGCCTTGGACAAAAAGGACTCTAGCTTATTGCTCAAAACGTCCTGTATTTGTACAGATTGCAGCTGACCACCACCTTGAAGACCTGACTACTTGGATTTAACGGAAGTAATGTGAGAGGGGGCTGCATCAGATGTCTCTATCATCACCTCATACTCTCTGGTGGAAATGATTCCACTTTTGATTCCAGCCACGGCTATGATGAACAGTTCCATGCAGACATTGACCTACCCCATAGTTACTGCACCTCACCTTCAATGTGGTCATGTGTTCCCAAAGTACCCTGTTGCTGAAGCGTGGGACACATTGGTGGCCTGCATGGCCAAAAGTGTGAGGGAATGGATGTCCTCTGGGGCAATCCTCAACCACTGGAGAATGCGAAGTAGTGGATAAGGGCATTGGCATTAGTCTTGGGCCTCCTAGAAGGGCCTAGTTTGATAGCCAGTCACCTTTGTATAAGGACAGAGCAATTAATATATATTTTTTTGTATTTTATCTGCTTTTTGTTTCTCTGATTCAGTATGGATATTTTTATCTGACCTATCTTCCAGTTTATCTAGTCTTTTCAGCTGTATTTTTTCTTTTGAGATAGAGTCTGGCACTGTCTGTCGCCTGAGGTGGAGTGCAGTGGCGTGATTTCAGCTTAGTGCAACCTCTGCGTCCCGGGTTCACATGATTCTCCTGCCACAGCCCCCCAAGTAGGTGGGATTACAGATGCACACCACCACACTCAGCTAATTTTTTGTATTGTTAGTAGAGATGGGGTTTCACTATGTTGGCCTTGAACTATGTTGATCTTGAACTCACGATCCACCAGCCTCGGCCTCCCCAAGTGCTGGGATTACAGGTGTGAGCCACTGTGCCCAGCCCTATTCCTCCTTTAATCATACCTATTGAATTCTAAATTTTAGGAATTTTTACTATTTCAGTTCTGGACTTTCCACTTACAGCTCGCTACAGTTTCTAGTTGTCTGCTAACGCTCTATGTTTTGCAGTTTATTTTGTTGACTGCATTAACCTCCGTCGTTTTAAAGCTAGCTTTTGACAACTTTAACATCTGAATCTGCTTGGGTCTATTTCTTTTGTCTGTTTTCTCTTTTCGGTTTCTGGGCATGTAATTTTGTTTTCTCACACAACTAGTAATTTATTCGAATGCTGGATGTTGTATATAAAAACTATAGAGAAAATTGGAGGCTCTGAATGATATCATCTTCCCCAAATGATTCACTTTTGCTTTTGCTGGGAATTGCAGCAGGGGCAGGTCACCTGAATTGAGTTGATGACTGAGCTGGATCGATCTCAGCCATTTAAGTTCCAACTAGATGTCTGAAATTTAACAGCTTAATCAAAGTGTAAATTACATAATATAATATTTGCCCATTGCAGGTATGTAATTCAATGAATTTTGATAGATTTGTGGAGTTGTAGAGCAATCACTGTGATCCAGCTCTAAAACATTTTATCCTCCCCACCTAGAAAGTTCCTACATGCTCATTTTCAGTCGGTTCCTGCTCCTATCCCCAGCACCAAGGCCTGGGCTCTTTGCCAGGGTCCTCTGCTATTCAGTAGTCACTGAATGTAAAAGTTCTCCAGACCACAAAGGTGGTGGATGCTCCTCAAAGCCTGCTGCACTCTCAGTCTTCCCTTTTTTATTTTCAGCTCCTTAGCCAACGATATAAAATTGGCAAGTGACTGAGGGAAAAGCAGTCTGTTAGGTCTCTCCTTTCTCATTGAGATCCCAGTCCCTTCAGTTCTTACTGCCTCAGTAGCTCCAAGTGCCTCCAAACATGTATCTTTTATATTTTGCTAAGTTTTTCTAGTTGTTTTTAGTGGGACTATTGTTCTGGAGAAACCAATCTATTAACTCTGAAAGCCAGTTTTACATTTATTAAAGGTGAGGTTCAATTTTGTATGTTTGTATTTTAGGTAGAAGCCTCTTTTTTTCTTTTTTAAAATTATACTTTAAGTTCTGAGGTACATGCGCAGAACGTGCAGGTTTGTTACACAGGTATACACGTGCCATGGTGGTTTGCTGCATCCATCACCCCACCATCTACATTAGGTATTTCTCCTAATGCCATCCCTCCCCAATCCCCCCCACTCCCTGCTATTCCTCCCCTAGCCCCCCACCCACCACCTGACAGGCCCCAGTGTGTAATGTTCTCCTCCCTGTTTCCATGTGTTCTCATTGTTCAACACCCATTTATGAGTGAGAACATGTGGTGTTTGTGTCAGTTTGCTGAGAATGATGGTTTCTAGCTTTATCCATGTCCCTGCAAAGGACATGAAGCCTCTTGAAGAGAGGAAGAAGTGAATTCCTCTGCCTTCCCATGCATGTCTCTCTTTCTTTCTTTTTTTTAAATTGCATTTTAGGTTTTGGGGTACATGTGCAGAACATGCAAGATAGTTGCATAGGTACACACGTGGCAGTGTGTTTTGCTGCCTTCCTCCCCTTCACCCACATTTGGCATTTCTCCCCATGCTATCCCTCCCCAGCTCCCCCGCCCCCCGCTGTCCCTCCCCTATTCCCCCCAATAGATCCCAGTGTGTAGTGCTCCCTTCCCTGTGTCCATGTGTTCTCATTGTTCATCACCTGCCTATGAGTGAGAATATGCAGTATTTCATTTTCTGTTCTTGTGTCAGTTTGCTGAGAATGATGTTCTTCAGATTCATCACCTTCCCTACAAAGGACACGAACTCATCATTTTTGATTGCTGCATAATATTCCATGGTGTATATGTGCCACATTTTCCCAGTCCAGTCTATCATTGATGGGCATTTGGGTTAATTCCAGGTCTTTGCT